GACTTCAATAGGTTAAGATCCTAGTGAGTTATAAGGAAAATACTCGAAATTGAAGGGTTCAAGAAAGCAACTTGACCATGGGAACTTTTTTCGATTAAATCAAAGTTGTAGTCCTTGTCAAGGGAAGTCTATCCATAGTCTAATGACTTCAATAGGTCAAGATCTTAGTGAGTTATGAGGAAAATACTTGGAATTGAAGGGTTCAAAAGTGTTAAGGTACACCTTATTTATGTAAGCAAAAATGCGAAAATTCACCTTATGTGTATTCAAAATCCTAATGCTAACAGTCAATTTCATTGTCTTTTTCTTACTGTCATAATCCTAGTCCTATTAACCAAAAACTCGAAAATTCACCAAGTCTTGTGTTGTGGCTTTGTTTGGCACTGCTTTTGTAAGCAAAAATGCGGTCAACCAACAAGTCTTTTCCCATTCTTTCCTTCCCCCCCCCACTGCCCCCTCATTAGATTATCTTCCATATTTTTCTTACAATTTTCGAGTTTTTGCCTCTCTTCTCTTCTTCTTGCTTCTCTATCCTTCTCTTGGTGTTGATGTTGTTGGTGCTGGTACTGGTGCTGGTGCTTTGAACTCTGGTAAGTCTCCCTCCATAATTTTCGCATTTTTGACTATTTGACCAATCTTTTTTCTAACCCTCTCCTTCTAGCTCTCTTCCCTCCTGCTCCTCCTCCCCCCAACTATTTTCGCATTTTTGACCATTTGGCAAGTCTTTTCTCTGACTCTCACTTCCTCCTGTCTGATCCTCTCCTTCTAGCTCCCTTCCCTCCTCTTCCCTCAAGAATTTTCGCAATTTTCACTATTTGGTAAGTCTTTCTTTTTTTTGTATTCATCTTTCCTCTCTGATTCTTCCTTCTAGTTCTCTTGCCTCTTCCTCCTGTAATTTTCGCATTTTTGCCTGTTTTGTAGTTATTAGTTTACATGTATTGTAGTAGTTGAAATATAATTTGGAATTTTCGCTTTTTTTTAATTTTGAGAACACTATCATGGCAACAAACAGCTATTAAGAGAAATTTTTGCTTTGTGTTTTGAGCTATAATAGCTACAATAGTTGTGGTATGTTCCACCCAGCTATAGCAACTTTAATAGAGCTATATAGCACTATACACTGGTGTAGTAAGCCTGCACAATTGGGCACTTGGCTATACGAGCTATAGGGCTATGGAGTCTGTATAGCAGTCTATAGCGCTATGGGTGGCTATATAGCCTTACCACATTTTCCTGATGATCAAAGTACACATGAAATGGAGTAGATCTACACTACTTTCAACAAAAATAAGTGAGTTTTCATGGTGCAGTAGTAGTTGTGCGTCGGCGTCACTCGAGGTGTCGAAAACCTTCTTCGCACACTGTAGTAAGCTCGCACAGTCCCCAGGCTCGCTCAACGCTCACCCTCAAAGACCTGGATCAGGACAGTGGGCTGGTTGTCAGTAGCAGTGGAGAAGCTGTAGATCTGTCAGTATGTTGGTCCGCATCGCAGCAACAGGGACACTCACATCTGTGACTTGCACGTAGGAATGACAGTGTTGCGGGGAATAAGCTTGGTGAAAACACCCCCGGTAGTCTCAATTCCAAGGGTCAAGGGGCAGACAGATTGAATGAGATGAATATTAAACGATCACACCTCATTGATGTTTTCCTTGTTGACTTTGGCATCCTTGAGCACTTGCTCGACAGGCTTCATAGTCTTATGGAACAAGTCCATGTTGAGCTCCTCAAACTTGGCATGAGTGAGCATCTCCGAGAAGTCATTGCCATCCTCAAATGACTTGATTTCAATGCGAGTAGACTGCTGACTAGAGAGAGTACACTTGGCCTTTTCGACCTCACGCTTGAGCTTGCCCATAGCACGGAGGTTGGTGGCAAATATGTCTTGAAGCTCTGATGTGAGAAGTGCTCTATACATGATAGTTTAGTAGGGGAATGCAGTATTCAAGCAAGGTACTGACTTCTGGTACCACAAGCCGGAACTTTGATTGACTTGGAGAACTACAGGGTATCTTCAGTTGTTCGCATGAGCAGAAGTGGAAATATAACTGCGAGTACCTTTCAGAAAGATAAACAACTTAATGTAAGATGATTAGAAAGGAATGCATTGTGAAGCAAGAGCGGCCTTACTATGACCGCAGGAGGAAGTAAAAGGAGACGATCCTCAGCAAATACATCGGGGCAAAGTAACCCGCGTCCCTCCTTGAGTCTAACCTATATTGATGGTATAAGACACTTGTAGTTTAACATCGATGTGGAAAGCACTAACCTTGTCCTGCATCTCTTGGTTATTTCCATATAACGGCGCAAGGTTGACATAGCCTGAAGTCATGTTGATGTGCGTCTTGCCAGGCATGTGGTCTGTATGGAATACACTGTGGATGACGAGTGCTGCAAAGGAGAACATGAGGGAGGACAGGCCCTGGGGATGCTCGATAAACTATAAATTATGTTGCATAAGAGATTGAAGCAATGTTGTCGCACATACGTACCTTGTCTCTGCGGAGCAGGGTGTCAAAGACGAGACCGGCGTTGGGCATTTGGTTGTGTGGTAAGGGGTTTGACTGCTGGACAGACCGTGCATAAGGTGTACCAGCTTTGCCGAGGTCGGGAGCATCAGGGTTGTTGTTTGAACCATCAGCAGTGTGGAACTGATACTCCAGCCCAATCACACAAACCTATCCCGGTGCTGATATAAGTGGCGGCACTTTGGCAGAAATCGAAAGCTTTCAAAGAGGCCGTGTCAGATCTGTTGGGAGGATTCTATAATATCTGTTCTGATCTAGAGCATAAATGTTGTGACGTGAATTGACTATCACAACATTTAATGTACAATGCTCAATGTAACAATAATACCTCAGATCAATATTTGATATGGACAAAGAGAACCACTGGTGGCGAACCGCCGCAAGCCCCTTCCCATAGAGTGGACGGGGTAAATCGATTTGGAAGAAGTGTATCGAAGTCACCCTCAGCAATTGACACAGGACGACCTGGTAGAGGGAACAATTAGCTTCGACTAAGGTGAAGTGCAAGACCTACGATAACGAGTGGTGATGGCAAAGATGGCCAACAGACTGTCTGTGTGTATGATATCGTCAGTAACTGCCACCTGTGAAATGAATTGACGCTAACCCAGTGAATGACAGTGCGCAGAAGGAGTTGAAGAACTACACGATAGCTCCGCCCATGCGTTCTACTTGCGCTGACTCAGGAATAGCATTGTGGGATCAACAATAGGCTGTGGCTAAGTTTGAATCATGTAGTCTACAGCAAGTACAGACTGTGAGCTATTAATCTCCATGGGGAAGTATACAATTATGATACGAACATTTGATGGACCTCACTGCCATTGTGGGTGATTGGCTCACTGCAATTGCCCATTATACTCATCGCCTGGGTCAGAAGAATACGTGGGAGCCACGTTCGTCAGAGGCTGCATTAACTAATCACAAAGTGATTCACTGACCACCAGAGCACAATGCAATAATTGCGCTCACAGCAATTGATGTCAATCCATGTGTCCCAACAGCCTAGCAAATACCCTTCAATACATATTTGAGCAGCAGGGCATCATGTCTGACCTTGATGAGGCCATTGAGCTCAATGTGCAAGATTCCAGCAGCGGTGGTCTTAGATGTAACCGGTAGTTCGTTCGTTGCGTGGAGGAGAGGTTGGACGGTGGGTATCGTGGATGAAGTGTAGCGCTTGACGAAGTGCTTGGATAGAGAGATGTCCAGAATTGCCTGAGGAACGAAAGTGAGCCAAAAAAAAAAACGGTCAAAATTAGTGGATGTGGTGGAAGGGGAAGTGGTGCTCCACTACTCAGTCTCGGGGTGGGGTCGCACCATACCGGACTTCATAGGGAGGGGAGTTAAGCAAACCAAAAAGGGCGCTCACCAATTACAATATTCAGTGCCTTGTTCTGGGAAGTGTATGCCATGGAAAGGTTTGGGTGTAGAATCATCACTGCATGCAAGTGTCCAGAAAATCATGTGATTTTAATTCAAAGTCAGCCGGCATTTTCCAGTGGTGTATTAACATTTTGATCTTATCATTATTTGATTGTTCTATCCCTCAATCTTCGTTCTAATGGCTATTATTATTACCAGTACTGAAGAACCTCTCGACTTGGCCAACAGAACCTCCTTCTTCCACGACAACATGGTCGTAATGGAGATTGATAATCTTCTTGCCGGATGGCCAACTTACACAATTAACTTCACACCCGAGCATCCAGGACCATTGGTAAGTAATCTTTTTATTGTCTGAATTACTCTCAAAAACTGATATCTACATTATAGAAGCTCATTTTACGCTTGAAGGATGCGTCAAATTTTTGCTCAACTGAAGATGATGATAGTGCAGATGAGGCAGAGGGAACAGGGAAAGTCAACGCACCACCAATCATCAAGGAAGATCCAGATGTTACCATGGTCTGTGAGGCCACCCTCAAGTATGTGTTTTCTTGTATATCTTGATTATTGCATTGACCCCAACTATAGGGATGTACCTCAGTGTGTCAGTGCGCAACCTGTGCAACTATATGGCAGGTTTAAGGATGCTCCTTCGATTGTTGTCTTACGGGAGAAGTTTGAACGGGAGAACAGTTATACGTGGCCCCCTCATCGTGGCTTCAGGAATATGACTGCTGAAGTACCACTCAAACACATTGACGCATTCATGACACTACCTGCTGCTGTAGAAGCATTAAAGTTAGAATGAGTCCCGCCTTCAAGCTTCATTTCTCACATCCTATCATTATTGCTTGGTGCATTGTTGTTATATCACTTCCCATGGACACTGTCTCTCATAGTCATACTGTTTTTGTTGTCACGCACTTGCACGCTCTCACATTGTAACTGTAGAATTAATTTTGTACTTCTTGTTGCGTATATAGCGCATATAATCATGTGACCTAATATCACGTCAACATAACCAAACATTTGGAACTTAATCATATCGGTCCCATGCCCTAACCCTTAAGTCTAACCACCATCATGTCTCTGCACCAATGTCCTGGCATGTTATCAAGTTCCTCCAATCCCCCTGACTCAGATTCAATTTATGCCCATAGCTCTTCAGTCTCTTCTGTTGAGTTATCTCCAGAGCCCATCAAACACAGAAAACATAAGAATCAGCGGTCAGACTCACCAGAACCGTCAAAGCTCAGAAAACGGAAGCGCAAGCATTCCAATCATGAAGAGGATCTTGAATCCAAACCTCATAGCAAAGTCAAGTCATCTAAACGTCCAAGGTCATAAGTTCATGGCTTGTATGCGTGCATATATCCTCTCATTTGCATATTTTAGCCATAGGGGGGGTACTAGTAAGGAAAAGTAAGTTTTTTAATACTCGACAATCTGAATTCTGATGAGCTACCTGTACTAGGGGCAATACTACGCCACACGAGCAGTGTCTACATTTTTCTCGATGGATACCACAAGGTGTGGACATGTTCTGTATCCTTAAAGATGTCTTCCGCCTCGCACCATTAATTGAGGAGGCTCGTAACTACAACCCCGATGATGATGAGGATGACCGCAAGGTACTGGATAATGTGCTCGCTCACATGTAAGTGGTCTTTCTGTCTGTTTAATGGGTGTCTAGCTAATTGCTCTCAGATCGAAGGACGGGTGCGACCAAATTCTCTGGACTTATGAGAAGATCCTAGTAGGCACTCCTTATCTCCACAAACTCATGAGAGCTGGTTGAAAGAAATCAGATGAGCTGCATGAGATTCTTGACGAGGCAGGTGCGCATATATGCACCTTTGAGCAGTGACTAATGATCCTACAGATGCAATACCTAATCGGACAGGTGCGATCTGAAGATGCAGCTCACTTGAAAAAGAGCATCACATGATATGCTGCATTTGACACAGACGACAAGCCTTTGAAACCTGCGATCTTCCCAGAGAGCAAGGGCTCGCGTGCCAAGATGGGTTTCAATCACCCTGACCTTGCTCTGATGTTATGTCCTGTCAAATACCTTGCTGGATACCAAAAGGAGCCTTCGGTGTATGCACAACATTGTTTTTTCTTATTTTCATGCACTCATTTGATCTTTACAGTACGAAAGCCAAACTCGAATGCGGGGAACTGAAGATGGATGCACGTGCTTGGCCAGCACTTTTATACAAGGGTAAAGTAGCTGGGGAGGCCTTCAATCCAAAGAACATCCAGGATGGCCTATTTGAAGGATACCTTCTTGAACGGGTAATTTCTTTTGTGCTGTTATCCACAATCAGCTAATGATACACATTCCAAGGTAATGAAACATGTTCTGACTGGTCCATCATCTGCTTTTGGTGGTGATGATTTCCACGTACCAAACTCTTGCAATGTGTCGCTCCATGGCATGACATCTATCGAAGCTGAGAACATTGCATATGCAGCCGTGGTGGTAAGTGGTTCTGCTGTAAGCAAGTCAGCACTTGATTCATCCTGTATAGGCACGCTCAGCAATCTCTTCTCGTGACAAGTGGTCTGTGGATGACGGCACATACTCATACCGCAAGGCATATTATCGGACAATTGATATAATTTGCAATCCCCCGGATGAAGTGTGGGCCAAGGCAATCATCCAACATTATAACCTGTACGTCCGAATTTCTACTAGCATACATGCTAATTATTGTTTTCTGCTAGGAAACTGTTTAAAGACAAGGGGGGACGCGGAGCAGGACTGTTGAACTCTGCAACATCAGATGCTGGGGAGGATGATGAAGATGATGACATTGCTGTGATGTGTAAGCAATTTGCACTTCAATCTGCTAACCCCCCTCCTGCACCACCAAGTCCCAAGCCCGAGGTACTTCCTGTGGAACATTGTACATGTTATGACCAACGTCCCTTAACCTAACTAGTAGGTGTCTGGAGATCGGACCACACCACAGGACTCGTCTGAGAAGGATAAGGAAGATAGTATTGAGAGGGAACGTCTAGGTCTACGATGACGTAAGAATGAAGAGGTTAAGTCTAAGGAGTACTACTGACTACGACCTAAACTATATACTACTCTCTAGGCGGAGATATCTGAGTATGAAAGGTGGTGATATATCTATATAAGATCATAACATTGCGCCTAGGGTATAGGGCGTCTTATCAACCAATCAACTACAGGAAAGGGTAGAGGGTATCGGAGATTAAGCAGGGTCTCAGGGTACTGCTTCTATTCAGGGTGAACGGATATGAATGAAGGGTGTGAGAGAGTTCTGTGACAAGAAGTCTCAAGCGGTGATTAAGGATCTCGATAAGAGATAGGATCTGGAGATGTATCGAGTACGATTGGATCTAAGGGTTTCTCCAGGGTCTTCGGTAATGAGCATGCTTCTCTATGAGTGGTGCTTCTGTGATAGGGGTTCAGGGTTCAGCTGTGACTGTGCAACAGGTTCCAATGTAAGGGGTTCGGTGAATGACAGAGGTAACTCTTAACGTGTCATGTGTGGGAAGTGAAGGTATGCGATGTGAAGAGGTGATGACTATGAGAGATGGCTCGTAAGGGACTCTCAGTTGTGGTTTGATCATAGAGGCGTGTAGATGCTTATGACGTAGCCGGTTGCCTAATCGTAGGACTTCTAAAGATGTGATGAGTGTTGGATGTCTAGGGTTACGGATATAGATGGATGACGTCGATGTAGTATAGATGTGAATTGAAGATAGTGATCGTTAATCGGTTATCCATCTTATCTTATCAGGGATCTTATCTAATCTAATCTTATCGGATAGGTGACTTAGGGTTTGATAATCAAAATTTAGATGCAGTTGGTAACATTCATGACAGTACACTTCCTCCAAGGTTCCGCTCCCCAAAGGTCACTAGCCCACCAGCTTCACCATCTCCTCTGCCACCCACTCCTAGGGTACACACTATCCCAAGGGCATGCCCTGCCCAACACAAGGCAAATCCACACCCACAATCTCCAGTTCCACCCACTCCTGTGCTGCAGCACTCGCCATCTCCTCTGCCACCCACTCGGACTCCTAGGGCACACACTATCCCAAGGGCACACCCTGTCCAACACAAGGCAAATTCACGTCCAGGATCCCCCGCTCCACCTCCTGCTCTGTGCACACCGCTTCCCCGCAAGAAACAGAAGCATGTCCAGCCAGATAGCCCACTGACGGAATCAGAAGCATCACATGAAGAAGTGGATGCTCCCATTTGAAGGTCGCCCTGAAAAAAGAAATCCAATGCGAACAGCAGGGCCGCTACTTTCACCACCGCACCAAAGACTAGGAAGGGAAGGAAAAAATAATCAATCAGTAATTACATCTTGTTTCGTCTCATTGCTGATGCTAATTTCTCACTCAGTGTTGTCTGATCATTCGTCTCGTTCATCATTTCTGCTGTCTATGTTTCGCTCCCTGTCATTTCATCCAACCAAGTGTTGCTGTTTTGCCATCAGATGCTCACGCGCATGTCTCCATTTTGTTCTGCACTTAGATGTACTTGTAGATCCTCTCATACCGTGTATTACCTTACTGCAATGAAATGGTCTTATCAGATTTTATTGACTGATCCGAACTTATCAGAACTTTCAACATATCATTGTTAGCCAATGCTTCTAAGGTCAAAAACTACCCTAAGGTGCGCATTACTTACCCAACTCGTGTCATCTGACCTTAAAATCCTTTTCTCAACCAGGCCTTATATGTTCCTTTGTTGCCTTCCGCATGCTGATGTGCTTGGCAGGCCTTCTGCAGCCTGAACAGCTCTTATCAGCCCTTCTCCGATTTGGGGAATTTTGGTGATGGGATTGCTGAAGACATTTCAAGGATCGTGAAGCGTCAAGTGAGGGTCCATTTGTGTGATATCGATTGCATGCATGGATATCTCGAAGTTCATTCAGAATCTTTGGATCATCTCACAGTAATGAAAGGATAGGTTGTTTGATGAGTACTTCCTGTGTATGATGGTCACTCACTCACTGCCACCTATGAAGTGAACTGGCAGATTCACTGGAGGAGTTAGGGTGACAGTCACACGCCGCAGCAGAAGAAATTCAAGAACTTCCTCAACCACTCCACCCAACGTGTTCCACTGACATTGACTCAGGTCGGTCGTGCAGTCAAACGTTCAAAGTATGAAGGTCAACGATGCACCATTATTGGCAAGTCCCTAACAAGTTCCAGGTAGCTACTAAGGAGACCTAAGGTCAAATACGATAAACTAGTATAGGCAATCGTGGACTGACTGCTGAACATCTGTCGCTTAGTCAGCATTGACTCCGATTGAGGCCTCAAGGCTCCAACATCAGCACTAATCACTGCGGAAACGACTTTTTAGTTGGACACTAAACGGAGGAAGAAACCAGGTCTAAACAGACTCAAAACGTACTTAGACACTAACCGAACGCAAAGCAGACGTGTCAATGGTTTTGGTGAAGCGACAAATGTAAATAGAGTCTTTTCAGACTTCGCGAACACATCTTTCCCGACCGTCGTTTATTCTCTTCAAACACTCCTTATCCCACCACTAACCAGATCCGTAAATCCATCCTTTCGACCTCTTTTTACGGTAGACTTGGGCGAAGGTGAGTATTTTTGAAAATTCCTCTAAGTCCTCGTTTCATGCTATCATGATGGCAGAATGCAACATGATCAAGCTCAAGCTACCTGCGCAACTGAAAACTTTCAAATTCACTTTTGAGTGCAGAAGACCAGGACCCATAGTAAGTTATTTGTACAACTAGACTACTCCCAACTAATTTCTATCTAGACTGTTGAAATTTCAATGCGCAAGCCTCTCAAGCGATCGAGGTCACAGCCTAGTAGTTCAGAGGACTTGCACAACTGTGGAATGTAGATTCGCGGATGGATCAGGTGAGGGTTGATTCATGTAAGAACCTCCAGCAACGCTAAACAAAGGCTGATAATCAGGTGTTGGACCCCTTTGATGAGGCTGGGGTGCGAGTGAGGGTGATTCGCTGTATGGAAACATGTGAGTCCCACTGTGTTATGATCAATGTTCACCGATTGGTAAAGGTTTCACACAACCACTAGGACTCGTCAAGATAAGAGCAAAGGATGAGATTGAGAGTGAACGTCTCTGTCTACACAAGGTAGGAACGAAGAGGTTAAGTCTAAGGAGTACTACTGACTACGACCTAAACTATATACTACTTTCTAGGCAGAGATATCTGAGTATGAAAGGTTGTGATATATCTATATACGGTCATAACATTGCACCTAGGGTATAGGGCGTCTTATCAACCAATCAACTACAAGGAAGGGGAAAGGGTCCATAGGGGTATCGGTGATTAAGCAGGGTTCTCAGGGTACTGCTTCTATTCAGGGTGAATGGAGATTAAGAAGGGTGTGAGAGAGTTCTGTGACAAGAAGTCTCGAGCGGTGATTAAGGATCTCGATAAGAGATGGGATCTGGAGATGTGGGTACGATCGGATCTAATGGTTCTCCAGGGTCTTCGGTAATGAGCATGCTTCTCTATGAGTGGTGCTTCTGTGATAGAGGTTCAGGGGTGTAGCTGTGACTGTGCAACAGGTTCTAATGTAAGGGGTTCAGTGAATGACAGAGGTAACTCTTAACATGTCATGTATGGGAAGTGGAGGTCTGCGATGTGAAGAGGTGATGACCTTGAGGGACAGCCCGTAAGGGACTCTCGTTTATGGTTCGATCATAGAGGCGTGTAGATGCTTGTGATGTAGCCGGTTGCCTAATCGTAGGACTTCTAAGAATATGAATGACTTCGGATGTCTGGGGTTACGGATATAGATGGATGATGTCAATGTAGTATAGATGTGATGTAAAGATAGTGATCGTTAATTGGTTATCCATCTTATCTTATCAGGGATCTTATCTAATCTAATCTTATCGGATAGGGTCTCTTAGGTTTTGATAATCGAAATTTAGATGCAGTTGGTAACATTCATGACACACTGTTGTACGGTGTCCCTTGTGCTGATGATGTCCCTTGATATGGTGTTCCTTGGCCAGATGATGACGACGCTGACCCCACATGTGCCTGACGCCCGAACAAATACAGGCCATTGTTGTTCTATCTAGGTGAGTATTTGGTGTTCCCTACTAGAGCATCCAAATGGACTTACCATGACTTGTGGTTCACGACTTGCACCCTGTTGTCCCGCACTAAAGAACGGACCCATCTGCGGCAGCCCACCACTATTTTCGAGAGGGGAGAGCTGGGGTTGCATACTGGGTGATAGTACAAGTGGCCCCATAAATGGTTCGTGTCATTGCTGCTGCCTTTGAGTTTCCTGACCTAACTGGCTGCCAGGATCGCTGGGCCTTCTCTGCACGTTCTGGGGCACACCACACATCGCTATGGGAGGGGACGAGAGCAGGCAGAAGAGCGAGAAGGAGGACCTAGCATGTGGGGGATGTATGGCGGATCCATAGAAGCATGTAATCCTAACCCAAACAGAGGGGGTTTTCACTATTTTCGATATTCTAAACGGACGTGATAACATATCTAATCAGCTTCAAACCCGACTAAGTAATAGCATGTCTGTAGCCTAATCACACTCCGTATCACGCTGAAATCCGTATGCTCGTTTGGTGCGGATTGGGAGACCTTTCTATACTTTGTCTGATACATTTTGAGTCTATTTCTAGAGTACAGTTTGTGTCCGTGTACATGCCCTAATCCTACTCTTTTCGTATACGACTAAAAAGTCGTTTCCCCAGTGAATGGTGTACGGCTTCGCTTGGTAAGGATTTCTTGTCTTGGGGCCATTGGACTCTGAGTTGGACCCAGTAATACCTTAGGTGGCTCACCGATGTGGACGATAAAAGACAGGCCAGCGGGTGCAAGCTGTGTTCATAATCTTAGGCAAAATTACGGCAGACGAGGTTCGTAGCGTATGTCTATTCTTCCATTTTCCACTGATCCCACCACCTACCAACATTCCTTCGACACCAGTCACAACGGACTACCCGCATGTTTCTCCAGTTTCTTGCCAGTCCGCTCACTCTGTTCATTCTTTTGGCCCCCCAATGTTTATCAAGAGCAATGGTGGCCTCAAACCAAAGCAAAACATTTTCAAGTTCTCATAAATGGGCAAGCAAATGAATAGGTCAACTAGGAATCTTGTTGAACCAGATCCCGAACCTCAAGAGGATGAAGGTATTTCTACACCATGGAATTTCCAGGTGAGTCTGTTAACTTTAAATTGTTATAGTCCTTGCTCATGAACGACCAGGGGCGTGACTGCTTCATCCCCTTTGTACTTTATGCTAACTCTTGTTTAGATTCATAGGACTTCCTCCTTCATGGTCTGCTGCCCTCTCCCAAGCTGGCTTTACCGATGACGAAATCATTTCCATCCACGTCCACCGCACCCCAATAATCCAACTCCCGTCCTGATTCTACAATCCTCCTCCACTCCACGTCTCTCATTCGACTCATCTGCCTCCTTCACTGTAGTGGACGCCAACATCACCAAGGTTGCAGAAGAACTTACGACAGAACACCAAGAGATGACGTGAGCGCTAGCCCTGTCCGACTAGAACTCGACCACAATATTTGACGAACTATGAGGAATGACGCGAACCCCGACATCGAAAGACGCGAATGCTAACCCAAAACTCGACATTCGATGGCCCACAAACACTAGCCCCGTCGCGAACCCCACCCACGACATTTGGTGAACCTCAAACTCGATGTTGCAGCTCCTTGATCTCAACAACGGTGTTGGTCGTGATTTTTTGAGTGCAGTCCCCATGTTCATTACTGGTTGACAGGTATATAGTAATGAGGACTGGCAAGGTAATGGGGGCGCGGCGAATGCGAGATTCGAGGACAGGCCTATTTTTCGGGGTGACCTATGTGATGCACCCTCACAGTAAGTCTTCCTGCTGATCATGCTTATATGAACGTTTCATGCCTTGAGTGTAGAATATGACTGTTGCTCAGCATGTACCAGAAGGTCTTGCGAATCCATGAAATGATACACATCCACATTGCGGCGTATTAGGCCACAGACATCATACATAGGCAGATGTTTTGATACTGGGTCATGCAATTCAGAGACACGACTATCATCTCTATCGTAATGGATCTTGCCGCTATGATGATGTGCTATGTTAGATCCATATTCAAACCAATGATACTGCTCTAAACATTGTTGTTGCTCATGCTTTAGCACTTTAGCCTCGGTTGTGATGTTATACTGGCGAAGGCGGAGGGTTGAAATGGCATAAGCATAATCTCTGTCACCGGCTATCAGGATGATGGTGGCTGGTGACGGATTATCGATGGCAAATGCAAGCATGTCCACTGGTAAAAGAGGTTCAAAGTGCACACTAGGGGCGCCTTAAGGAATACACACCGAGAATCATCTTGTCTACGACTTCTTTCTTACCGTTGTGGGGGCAGTCGGTTATGGACACCCCAGAGGATTGAAGGTCTGAGCGAAACCTGACAGACCTGGGAGGCTGCAAGCCTATGTCGAGGTATGCTTTGAACGATGTTACGTGTCCAAAGACATGCGCAATTCGTTGGATGCCATTTACAATGGTGTGTCCTTGTGAGTTCAAGGGAGGACTACAGTTTTCTGGGAGAGGATGTATCCCATGAGCTGTCAGGAGCGGTAATGCAGAAACTTACCATAGTCCCAGAATATAGCGACCTTTCTATAGTTGGACATGAAACTTTCATTGAGGAGGGGGAATAAGTTGGGTACTTCGTGTACAGGTGTCAGGAGCCCTTAATTTGTATCGACCAAATGTGACATTAAGAGGACCAGTGTCCATTTCGGAATTAAGCATTGCACAGTTTCGCGTTTGCACGCGCATCATGTACTGCGGTCGTCAGAAGGAGTAAACGTTACTTCAATGCTGCAAATGTGAGTTGGGGCACGCACCTCGGGAGTGCTTACTGCAGCACTGATTCCCAAATATGTTCTGTGGGCGTCAAGTCATTCAATACAAAATGACCCACAACCGCGTGAGTGCCAGCCTATACTAGTCCTCTCGATTCTCGCTCGCTAGAATAAACCGTAAAGACACGGCAAGCGAATTCCCCTCAGCAAGAGCGAGAAAATAAAGAAGAAGATGCATGCGCATTGTGATTGCCGTCTCATGATGTTGAATAGCTGAGCCAAGTTTGCTGAAACTTGCGTGGTACATGCATGAACTTTCGGGCGTGGCGAACAACAAATAGAAGGAGGATGACTATTTGGCGAGGTGGTATTAATATATCAACAGTTTAGGTGATTACTGCGGAAGGCTGCAAAGTAGGGTTGTGAAATAGACTTGTCCAGAGAGCACTTACTGGCATCCGCATGTATTGAAACACAAATTTTGGACGCAGCATGACGTTTAAAAGTGTATCTATCGCCCATTGCCCCATAGCACACATATTGGGGGTGTGAATCTGCATATGATGCGACGGGTCGCGTTTGACACGCTGAAAAATGACCGTCTTTGTTACCACTGATAACAAGATTTGCTTGTTAAGGACCGACCTCAACGTTATAAATGGTGACATCGGAATCGGAGACAGTCGTAAAAAGCCGATGTTGCAACCTCGTGGTTGCCGTCGTCGTCATCTTTGTCATCAAGTCCAAGGTACTGCATGGTCCGAAATCGTCCAACGATAATGGCCGAGACAGATTGTTCGTTGAAGTACATGATGCCAAGTCCTTTTCAAAGCTAAGGACTTCGCGATCACGTGCACTAACGCGTAGGGTGATATCGATGGCTATGTCAAACCCCCTTCATCCCCAACGCATGCGGCTGAGTAGCAAACGTCCAACTCTCATCACAGTGTAGAGCTGTCGAAGAGCATGTCCTGCAGAGGGAGTCATGACGCGGACGCGGACGGACGACACCTCGTGACTGTAGGATCTGCACGAGATCCGCGCCTCATCCTCAATCTACGTCAATTTCCGGGTTCACGCTGTAAGGTTTTTTTTATCGTATATTTGTCTGGGGGCCCATCGGTACTCTGAGTTTGACCTTAGGTATGCCTTCATCAATGATTCACTGACGCGGATAATAAAAGATAGCCCAACAGTTGCTATTCATGATCTCTCGCCGTGCGATGACTTTCTTGCAGGGTTTTTCAAGTGAGCATCTGAGTATCAGGACACGAAATTCTTCCTGAGGTGCCGATTCAGCGTATTTTTTGTTGTGTGGCGGTTGATGATGGCGCTTTTCATAGACGATCTCACAGGTCATCGAACAGTGATCATGATGTCGCTCTGTCGATTCTCTTACGACAGAGATGTTCCTGCAACCAGCAGAATACTTGCAGTTGCACACGTCTTTTGGAGAAGGCCGAATTCCTTGCAATGACAGGCGAGAGAATAGAAAGCATAGACTCTCTACCTTCTCCCTCGTCGTTGCAAGTCACTAGCCTCCGCGCGGAGTCTTGCTCAAGCTAACGATATTGAAGTCACATATGATGCATGTTGGACAGAGTTGCTTTGATCGCAAGGCATTTGTTCCCGACGAGAACGAATGGTCACGATTTTTGTTCGCTGTGAAGATCGTTATAGCGGAGGACTTGGTGCTACTTGACGGCGGTCTGTCTTCCTTTCTGGACACTGTAAAGGGCGGTCCAATCATAACGCATCGCAAACAAAGATTCAGAAGGGAGCAACGCAATTCCGCGGCCTCAGGCCTCATGGACAACTCTACACAGCTAGGCGATCACTCGTCCAAATCAATTACTCACCCATTCACCATTCCCTTGCCCCAAACAACACCAGCACCAGCTTGAGCACTTAATTGCAACCACCCCTCAGAAGAAGAAAAGATGAATAAGTGATATGAGAAATGACTTGGGGGGTATAGATAGCGATATGAATATGTGATAGATATCTCGCGGCCTAGCGCTAAAAGCTGGCGGATTGGCGCTAAAAAAAAGAGTAAAATCGTCCATCCGTCCACGTCATGATTCGTCACGATTCCCCAGTATTCTCTCTCTGCAGCACATGCTCTTCGATAGCTCTACATTGTGATAGGAGTTGGACGTTTACTGCTCGACCGCATGCGTTGCGGATGAAGGGGGTCTATATCACCATCACAAATCAAGATCAGATTAGGAAGCGCGAAGAGAACGAAACAAACGCACGTTCAACAACTCATTAGCGTTTGGTCTCGACACACTCGGCCGGGAACATAATCGCAAAAAATCATGGAAAGCTCTAGAATAGAGCTCGGGTTGACGAAGAGCAGGCCATTGGGCACCGATTTGACGTGGGTCTTGGACGTCTGCAAAGGGAGGTTCTGTTTGTGCTAGTTCCCATACTGTAGCGCCTAACGACCATATGTCGACTTTGAGCGCGTTATACGCTCCACTACAAGAGATACAAAAATGTGATGAGAATCCTAATGAGAGAGATAAGGATGAATGAACTCACACTCGCATCTCTGGAGCCTACGAAACATGAAAACCATCAACACACAAACCGAGAACACAAAACGCGCGCACGCACCTGCCAGTAGATGACGCCCACAGCCCCAAAACACATGGGCGAATTTCTTGTTACACGAACAGCATTCGAGAAATCAGCTATAAATCAAAAAGCCACAGTCAACATCAACATCTCTCCAAAAAGATGGCAACAAAACAAATGATGATCGGCGTAGAAACACCCGACGCCAAACACATATGAAACGCAGTGACTCACCAATTTTCACGATCCCACTCGCATTTAAAAGCAAATTGTCCGAACGCACGTCTCGGTGAGCTATTTGGTGTTTTTGGAGATATTCGAGCGCGAGTAGAACCTATCATACGCATTTATCAGCATCAGCACCTTATCCCCACCCCCTATACACGAAATAAAAAAACTCACATCACTAGCAAACCTCGCAATCATCCTCTCCTGCAACGACAACCCCTCACAAACAAGCCCTACAACATCCGCCAAGCTCCTCTCCATCAACTCCATCCGTATCCACAAAGAATCATCCACAACATTCACATAAAACGCATCCATGCGCAATACATGCTCGTGATGCACCCCGCGCATCAGTTCCATTTCCTGTCGGAGGTCTTGGAGTTTGGGGGAGATGGAGGGTTGGACGGGGATGGTTTTTATGGCTACGTGCGTGGTTTCGGGGGGGATGGAGAGGGTGGATTGGGGGCAGACGACTCGTGAGGCATATACGGATCCGCTTTCGCCTTCTGCGATTTCTTGGAGGTCTGCGAAGTATTCTTGGGGATCGACGTCGACTATGAACTCGGAAAGAGGAGCGACGGTGTCTGCGACCCATGCTGGCAATCGTTGCAAATGTGATTGCACTTTGGGAATAGTGAGCATAAACCCCTCTTCACTATCACTCTCCCGCCCTCCAAACGTATCAGTCATAGACGTAAGAAGTGCAGCTTCAGGAGCAAAACTCTTATCCCGGAGCGGCGACGGTGGTAACTGTAACTTGGGAGTCACGAGAGGTGTACTTTCCGTAGTCGAACCCTCGCTGCTGAAATTCGAGCTGTGAGGGGAGCCTTGCACACGGATCAGGGACGTCGTACGGAAACGCGTGGCTTGCCGCGGGGTAGTGTCAAGATCAGGGCTGAGCGGGGGTTCTGGCCATGATGGGTCTGAGTCCAGCGGGATGATGGACGCACCATCTTCTGTCTCGCTTCCTGCGTCGTCTCCATGCGGTTTGGCAGCAGATGAGGACATAGACACAGAGTCGGACTCGACGACGCTGGCTGTTGCTAGCGTGATGGCCATGGCTCCACTTACGCTCACGATGGTGGCGGGCGTGACTGTCACCGTTGACATTCCGGAGTCGCGGTCACCAGCGGGTCGTGCGGGGAGGAGGGAAGATGAGGAACTGCGGTCACCTGAAGAAGCAAGACCTTCTCCTCCTGTTGAGGAAGCTGCAGACGTCGAACTGATAGGCGACTGCGATGATACAGTGACCTCGACTCCCGATCTAGGATCCAACGGACGAAGTAGGCGACTTCCCAACACTGCTGGCAGAAGGCAGTCGCTCGAAAGATGACGCAGACCTCGGCTCAGCAGGAGGCGACGAAGACCTCATGAGCTCTTCTGCAGTATTGCTCGAGCCCATTCCAAATGCAGCACCAAGCGACGAAACGTTCGGCCCCAGGGAAACATCCAGTAAGACAGGATTGTGATCATCCTTTTTACGATTGTCCTCCGCATTCGTTTCATGGGGCGTAGGAGGGAGGTCCCTCTTTGGCGTGCGGAATACGTTTCTAGTTGGGGTGGGTAGTGCGTTCCTAGTCGGAGTGGATGGTACAGTTCGGAGTGGGTGGTACGCTCTTTCCAGGCGACCGAGGCACCATAACGCGAAGGGGCGCCCCAAGAGTGATATTCGCGCCAAAAGACACATCCGGAAGGGTCGGTGAGAGCATACTTGGATCTAACGGCTCAGAAGGGGGAGGTGAAGGTGCAGAAGGAGAAGGTGACGTAGACGGCGTAGATGCAGATGTAGTAGGAGAGTGTGATTTGGAAGATGTTGGAGTTGAAGGGGTGCGAGAGGATGTTGATGGAGAGCGTGATGGTCTTGATGAGGAAAGAGAAAACCCAGGGAGGAGCGAGCTGCTTCCTTCTCCTCTGTCTGTTATGTGGGTGTTTCTCAAGCTACTCGCACTCGCGTTTTTTCTCGCGCTTGCAATCCTCGACCCACTCTCGCTCTCATCCTCTTCTATTCCACCAAGCAATCCAGCTCCCCAATCCCCCAGTCCCAAGTCCGCACTTAAATGGAAACTCAGCCTTGGAGGTAATGCATTCGCCTTCATCGGCCTCTTATCAATCACCAGCGGGGGAGTCGGGCTCAGATGCCTATTCAACAGTGCCGGGTCGACGTCCGTGATAGGGAGCGGAAGAGATAGATCCGCGTAGAGGGAGGAAGATGTCGTATCTGCAGCAGCAGAGATATCCAAAATAGAATCTCCATCTCCATTGTCCCGGACATGACCGCATTCATCCAAAGCTGTTTTTGTTCCACTTCCTGACGAGATTCCAGCCTTCTCCGGCAGGAATCCCGAGCTACGGACCGGGGAATGGTAAGCAGGCGGAGGGGACTCATCACTTGCATTTGCAACATGAAGCACTCTGCGTGGAGGCGTGCGCGGGGTACCATGCGGAGTCAGGAGACCGAGGGGCAGGTGCGGTGGCAAGCTGTGAGAGTGGACAAGCGGGCTAGGGACATGCGGGTTGACCCGAGCAGGTACATGGCCTGTATCAGAATGGGCCCGGGCGATTTGAGGTGGAGTTGTATGATTGGTGGAGCCGCTGTGGTGGGTGGAGACGGATTGCGTGTCGAGGGGGTACGGGTCGATCATGCTTTCGTGCCCTGAGCCGTTTACGAATACGTATTGGGTGTCGACGGTATCTGCTTCGGCAACAGAGGTGGTGTGGGAGGAGGTGGTGCCGGTGTATGATGCTTGACGCGAGGGAGGGAAGTTGAAGGAGCTTGCAGTGGGTGATGTGTTTGCCTGCAATGTTGAATTTGATGAGCGTGCCGCCAAGGCTGCGTTGGCAAGGGAAGAAGTGCGTGGTGCTGGATAATGAAGGAGGGAGATTGGAGAATCAGGACGGGAGTTGGAATGTTGGGATGTGGGTGTGCCATGGGCAGCGGTTCGACGAGCGTGGATGGAAATAATTTCGTCATCGGTAAAGCCAGCCTGTGACAGGGCAGCAGACCATGAAGGAGGAAGACCTACGAATCTACGAAATAGTTAGCATAAAGTACAAAGGGGATGAAGCAGCCGCACCCCTCGTCAACATGGATATTATGCTGATAGTTTATGAGCAAGGACTACCCAGAGTAAGAACTGGACTCACCTGGAAATTCCATGGCGTAGATATACCCTCGTCCTCTTGAGGTTCAGCTGGGTCTAGTTCGACAAGGTTCCTAGTTGACCTATTCAATCGCTTGCCCATCGATGAGAACTTGAAAATGTTTCGCTTTGGTTTGAGGCCGCCATCGCTCTCGACAGACGTTGAAGGTGCAAAAGAACGAACAGAGGGAGCGGACTGGCTAGAAACTGGAGAAGCACGCGAGCAGTCGGTTGTGACTGGTGTCGATGGCAATGAAGGAACAACGTCGGTAGTAGGAGGTATTAATGAGGTTACGCTTGGGTTGTAAAGCGATTTACTACTGCTGTATGGTCCTCCTTGAACTTGCAACCCGTATCGTGGTCCGTCCTTGGGAGGAGGCGGGGGCGGTCTCTCCTTGTTAAACTTGAAAACTTTGAGGGTAGAGAACCTAGAGTTGTTCCTGCTATTGACAGACATCTAACACATCGACTTGCTACAACGGCTTGCTCGACGACTGCGACGACGACTACGACGAGGAGGATGATGACTGAGAGTAGTAGTAATAAAGGTGGCACTACGTACTTGCCTAGGGTTGACCTACTGGGGCGCCTATCGCCACCGTGGCCCAAACTTCAACCATCTTTTTTCTCAAGCTCATCCAACTCAATTTTTCTATAATTTCTCAGCTTTTTATTACTTTTATTTATCTTCGGTTCCGTTCTGAAACGTTCTGAGAGCTCAGTTAAGCGCTTATTTCATTTCCACTACACAGTTCCGCTGGGTTACAGCTATAGGCCTCTGCACATCATAAACCGGTACCGCACACAGGTGCACTGATCATCAGATCCCTGCGCTGCGCAAGCGGTGATGTCCTTGTGGAACCGACACTCGAATTGCTCCGATCATCAAATATAGTTGTATTATTTGGATCAACCACGGGGATGTATATGTTCACGGCGTCTCAATGACGCACCATAATTTCTCATGCCAAAAGTTATGATGACCCTGACTGTCAATCCTATCGCTAGTGTCTGATCGAATGAGAAACATCATTCAAACCATGACGCATAAATTCGCTGAGTTCAAGTTGGAGCCGGGTGAGTGATCGCCGGCCTGGATTCGAGTTTTATTTGGTATTGAATTTTCAAGTTTGCATACGACGTTTGATGTAGCGACCCCGCAAGTTTAAAATGTAGAGTTGACCATGAGGTCGCGGATACTTATTTGAAGTATGCTGTAGGGGAAGTCAAAAGTCGTCCCTTCTTCGTTTGACCCCGCTTTACAGTTGTTTGACATCTACCTTGCACAATGTACACGACACCACCAGTGTGAGCACTGATCTCAATATGATCTAGGCCTCATTGCAAGTGATTCAGGTCAGACGAAACACCGTAGTATGACCTAGATGCTCATGCGATGATGTGCATGTGCCAATTTTCTGCGTGGGTGTGCGCATGGAATACTACTCGAGCGGATCCAGTGCCATGATCGTAGGTTGAACGTCGAAATTCCATGACTTGACGCTGATCTATCGAGTTAACAGTTCTTTCATCCACCTTGTGGATGTGCTGAGACCTCAAGAATTTCTGAATTCTTGGCCTCAATTAACATGTCGCCGGCAAACGGGAAAGAGCTCAAGAATTTGTCTAGATATGTATCAAGGGAGTCGTGTGTGATCCTGATATAAGAAGTGTATGGATTGCACACGACTCCATCGATCTCAATGTGTCTATGTCGTACATAACACCACTGATCTCAATATGATCCAGATACTCATGCGATCATGTGTATGTGTGTTGTTGTTTGGGTGCGTGCGAGGAACACCCGGACGTTCATTAATATTGACTATTCAAAACTTGCATGATTTGACGTTCCTTGCGGATTTGTTGAGACCTTGAGGTTTCTTAATATGTCGCCGGCAGACAGGGCAGCTCACTGAGACGGCAAGATGGGGACGGCGTTTCAACTTCACTAGCACTTGTGATATCCCTTCCCGGTTGCATAATTCACGTAAGTTCATTGTCCAGCTTTTGGATATCGCTGATATATCTACGGCAGATTTTCAAGGCGCAGAAGGCGACAAGGCATATTCGCAATATCGCGTTGTCCGGTGAGGCGGGTGCTACGGGCGGCCGCTCTTTTACATTCAGTACGAGAACCAATTATGAAGAAAGCAACGTGTGAAGAACAGCACGAGCTGAGGCAAGGAACTGTATCTACATTGTGCGTTGTCAGTTATAGAAATTCGCAAAATAGTACAACCACTCACCGAAATATCTTCACCAGCCACTCCAAGACTTTGCTTGTGGATATCTCCATGAGCCATGGTCCTAACAAGGATAGAAACGCGTTCAATATGAGTTCAAGGTTCGCATTCACCTTCCGAGATCGCATCGTGTGGTCGATATTCCTTGCAGCCTCGGAGAATAAAGTCTGGTTGAAATCCACAGACAGGGGAGGCCCATCTGAACCTAACATTATGGTTCGCGCACTGAAAGTAGGAGACAGGGAATACAAGTGCGCGAAGGTATTGCTGGCAAGTGCATGGACGGTCATGAACGTCGGCGTCTCGACCAAAAAAGTTAAGATTCAGTCCGTCTCCGTTTCATCGTCATCATAATCTACAAAATAGCTGAAAAATACAGCTCTAGATGTCCCAAGATACGTATTCGCCGTTCGTTGGGTCAGCGAAGAATCTTTTTTTACTCTTCAAATTCGGAGCTTGCGCTTTATTTTCTGCTCCTGATTGGAGCTAACGTCGCGGTATTTCTCATCACGTGGTGCATAGTGGGGCTCGTGGCCCAAAGTGCGATATACACCCTGCGCTGAGAAGTATTCCAGGAGCCAGACCCTGAGGAGATTCTTAAGAAAAATAATGAAATCTCGTATGTGGTCCTCTTGACGTCTGCAGCTTCATAACTCCCACTAGTGATGGGGTATAGCACGGGTATGGGACACACCGCGGGTACGGGTACGGTGTAGAGATCAGAGATCTGGTATCCGTCAGCATGGTATATGGGTATGTTCACGGGTACTATGCGCTATCTCCGAGTCTACTCCGCGGTGTTATATTTTGCAAGGGATTCGCCACTTACGATCCTTATTTTTCGGAGGTCATTGACTGCAACAGCGACCCAATGCTTCGATCCTATTTCTCGCTGCTTCAGTACGCCTAAAGTTGATGTTCTTCCGCCTCGGCGACACATTACTGGTACTGATTACAACTTAGTGATTCAACGGTATAGAGTGAGGTATTGTAGAATCGAATTTTTTCAATAGTACTCAATTTTCGTCGTCTACTGACTCGGACTCGTTTGCTGAGTCTACATCGACGCACTTATCTGTATCATCGTCTTTGCGGTCCGTGGCGGGTACGATAAAGGCTAACGTCGTCAAGCGTATCAAGCTTATCCTTCCTCATACGGAAAGGGCCAAAGTAACCCCCTCCGAGTTGCCCTCCACCATTCCGGAAGTGATCGACGTCGATGAAGATGTCGACGTTGCTCTAGTTAGTACTGGCTTGAATGCGGACAACAGTCCTGCCGCTGAACAGGACGACGAGACTGATTTAAGTAAGTGAAGTGGCCTACATATACATGGACCTTGATTGATGTGTGTGCAACTCATAGATGCGTTCAAGAAAACCTGGCATTCGGCAGTCTATTCATTTTTCAAGCTTGATGCTGTCACTGTCCAGTATCACGATGGCCGTCTAGTGCATTTCTTCCCTTGCGGAGCACGCAAGTGCAAGTTATCTGTCGGAGGTGTCCGCCGCTTCCAAGATTCAAAAGATAAGTCTTCGACTGCTAATTTGAAGCACCATGCCTTTGGCTGCTGGGGCAAAGAGGCAGTTGAGTTAGCATTTAGTGGCGGAAAGGCACAGGCCTCGAGTGGGAATGACACTTGATTACCTTAGCATCCCTGGTAAGTCGTGCACATCACCTCTCACTAGTATCACGGCTTACACATTGCACACCATTCATGATAGCTACCTCAACTGCAGTCGAACGAGTGTTTTCGCAAGGCCGACACCTTCTACACTTCACTCGAAACCACTTGTCTCCGTCATCGACTCGTGCATTCATGTGTCTTGGCTCGTGGCTCCGCTATGATCTGGTAGCGCCTGAGGACCTCATTAGGATCGTAAGTCTCTGAAGAAAAGTAAGCGAGAGACTGAGGGTGTTGTGTGAGGGTATTAGACCTATGTAGCGTTATTTCTTGTATGTGTACCCGCGGGTAAATGCAACACCGCGGGTAAGCTTCCATACCGTGGGTTAGCACGGGTACGGTATTGATCTTCCGACCCGCGAGTATACCCGTGCTATACCCTAAAGTCTAGTGATGATACACTCATAAAACTGTATCAAGCCGTCACCCAGTTTGTTCCAGCTGAACCAACTGCTGAGATGACTGCGCTAGTGACGAGGATGAGGATCACCAGCTAGCCCTTGCGCTGTGGCTTTGATCAAAGTTTTTGGGATGGTCGGGACGTGGTAAATCGCATTGGTTCTTATATGTATGATATTCCAAGCACTCTGTTGGATTGGTTGACTGATTAACACCTCTTGAGTGCGACGATGGATCGTTTTCATACATTTCCACCGGGTACCTCGAGCTCGGAATGTGGAACATGTACAATCGACTTATTGTTGGAACGGATCATAGTGTGAGAATTGAGGTATGTACTAGACCAGGCTCATCCACGTAAAATTATCTATTGGTCCTTGAAGCTTGAGATCTGAGACACCATCACTCCTTGATATAAACACATCTCCCGCATTCACAACACCCTTCATAGCCTCAAAAATACTTCCACAAGGATAATTGACCTTGCCTCTCACATGGTATCATTTTTTTTATGAACTTGATCAGTGAAATTGCTTTTGAGATGTGTGTTTTCACACCCCGAAGAGCTTGTCACGTTGAAATATGGTTGGGAAGGCACGTACTACAAGCCCAGGATCTATATATTTGACCACCTACAGAGTGATCTGCAGTGTCCGTCAATCGATGTGTCCATCGTTTTGGGGAAAATGGCAAGGGATATTCTCCCAATTGAATGGCTAATGATGGGATTCACATTTCCATTGGGAGACCATGAAAGTGATTTCACCTCTCAGATATGACCAGTCCTGGTCCAAACGCAAGCTCATCTCACCGTCTGTGTCCCCCCGCTGAACGCTTCCGTCCTTTCCCCTTCATGCAATTTTATAGATATTGCCTTCCGCGTCTCCGCCTTGCGATTTCCTTAGCACACAGTCTCCGCCAACCCTGTCTTTCCCGTTTGTCACGCATCAAGCCTGACCACAGCTCTTCCCGTTTTCTGGGAGTCTCTGCCCCTGGGGCTCTCCTTTACACCACGCCAGAGCCCGAAATAACAGCATCCCTGAACCCGAGGGTATCGGATCATGATTGGCAGGATTTGCGCAAATGTACTTAGTGGCGTTGCACGCATCAAAATTTTTATGCTCGCAGCTCTGGTGCTGTTTTGCTTTCTTGTTCGGTTTCATGCCGTCAGCTACGTCTTCTTGTGCCTTGGACGGGATATCCCTTGGCCCATCTACCGGTGTAGCCCAGCCCTGCCTCCCTGTCTCTTATCAGGTCCTATCATAGTCTCCGCACGTCTCAGGGAGGGCCATCTGACGCTCCCTGCCCCCTTGGCATCATACCACGGCAGCCTATGGATAGGAAAGAATTTTTCGTCCCCTTGGGGAGGCGCCTGCAGATTGGCACACAGGAACGCTGAAAAGCCGTGATCAGCACCGTAATTTGATCCTCAAGAGCGATGATCCTCCCAGACCCTCCCGAGCTCAAACCGTGTTTGGGGGAGGAAACAAAAAATCTTCGACTCTTTGCTGTTTGACACCACATACTATCACCACACGATACTACCTTGACGTTCCCATGGATAATAATAAGATAGATCAGTGTCTCTCATCCTGCAAGTCGAGTTCGGCAGCAACTACCCATCTCAGCATCGCAAGTTCTCATATTTTTTAGGAACAATCTGTAAAGGGCTAATTAGTATCCTGCCCTGAGTCAATGGGTAATTTGACTTCCTTTCTTTTCGCACTCATCTACTTACAAGATCCTTGAGCCGTCTCTTGGCGCCTCTTGCAAGCTTTAAAAGACCGTTCAGAAAGCTGGTACGGTAAGCCTTTCACCTCTGCCCGTGGTAAGCTCTGCGTCTGCTTTATCATCTAACATTCCTTGACCAACATTGCTATTACTCAGCCATTAGACAATGAATCCCGTGCCGACACCCACTGATCAGAAACAACCCCACTGCTATAGCAGCCAGCTCAAGCCCTTTTATCACGGAAATATCCAGCGATACACTAGTTCCACTACCGGGAAATGCAGGGGGCTCAATGTGCAGTCCGTCAATCCCAGTCCGTCGAATGACTGGATCGAACACGGCGTTCGATCAAGTGCTCCACCATCCACTCGGCATGCTGCGTGGCTGACCAGGACGATGTTTAACCCATCCAACGAAACCTTTATGTGGTTATTCGTCTGGCTCGCTTATATCGCCGCGCTAATTCTTCCATCCTGGAGAGCGCCCCGCCCGTTTACCTTTCATTACAATCCATATTTGATGCGGTTTGTCGGTCAACTGTGGGCTGCACGTTCACCAAAGGAATACTCTCTACGGTCACGAATTGGTGAAGAGAACGGACGCGTCCGACGTATCACCCACGCCCTCTACCCTCGCTTCCTCATGGTATATGATAGACAGGCGAGGACTTGGAAAAAAGTCAATGTTGAGGCAGTAGCGGTGCGAAAACCCTATGTCGCCATCACGTACTCCTACTACGACATGACAACGTCCGGAGGCGGTGAGGAGGTGATCAAACGACGGTCGCAGGAGGCTACTTTGAATCAGGGATTGGATGCGTACTGGCTAGATCTCGAGTGCTTACTCGAAGATCCTGCACAGAAGGACGAAGACCTGTATCGCATGGCGGATGTGTACAGACTCGCCTCTTTTACGCTTATTGTTCTCAGCAGTGAGAGCGCTTGGCGCGGTTATGGTGGCCGTATCTGGACCCTGCCAGAAGTTCTCCTTAGTCGCGAATTGCTATACAAGACTGGAAACAACGCGGTCACCCCCATCACTCTCATCCAACTCGCCTCTTTAGCATACGAGCACCACGATGAAGAATCCCAGATTATCAACTCTTTCGGCCTCGGGAAGGATCCGCTCGAGAGGTTGGACCGCAATCTCCAACTCACAGAAGCAATATGGCGCCGAAAGAGTAACAGCCAGGGGAGATATCGCGCAGAGAAGGTCTATGCGCTCATGGGATTTTTTGAACATCGCATTCTCCCAAACGCCGAGGAAACTGAGCTGCAAGCGCTCGCGCGCCTCTTCATGGCGAACGATAACGACCGTATCGCTGATCGCATGATCTCAATGTTTCCCGGAGACAGAGCAGGGATCAATCAATGGTACACTAAAGAAGACGAGTATGGTGCCAAGCTTTGGGATATCGAGCCCACTGTACAGGCCATCGGCATTACATCTAACGGTTCTCTTGTGTTAGATGGATGTCGGGCGGCAGTCATTAGGTGGAAGGATTTCCCATCCATCGATTACGCTACGAGGCCCTCTTTTCGACGTGCTATGGCACTTACAGAGCCATATTTCGCCTTTCTCCTCTTCTTAGGGGGTAACGCCACAATTTCCCAGGGAGCTGTTGGCGGCGGCGCTGTCTTGCTAATCCTCTCAATCATTCTGCTGATATTCGCGCCAGTCATGACAACCTATGGGCACTCCGGACGAGTCGTCCTTGCTTGTCCATGGCTAATTGGAGTGAAAGGAGTCATCTCTGCCCAGCAAGCCTCCTTCTACCTATACGGAGGTCAGATGGGCGATTCTCGTCGTACCCTTTACACTCCTACAGGTTCGCCTCTGGCGAAACCGAGAGGAGGTGACTCCAGGTTCCGCGAAGGCCACATTTCGCAGTACGAAGCGGCTCTCGCAGCCCCACCATTCGACCCTATAGAAGGTCACATGTTCACTCTCGTCGATACCATCTCGGGCACGATTTACTATTTCCGTGCGCATAGGCCTCCCACGGTCTGCCTTTTCACAGGAACGGAGGGCGGGCAGGGGAGGTTTGTCATGTGCAGCGAGGAATGCAGCAGTAGCGAGCTGCGACGTGAGACGGTGCTCCGCATGCCGACCTTCATCTCCAATTACATGCACACTTGTGATTGGGTAGCTGTAGGTGGTAAGCCTTGAGTCAGTTCTGGCTGACACTATTGTGAATTTACTTTCATCGACACTCTCATTTCCGTGCGCGCGCGTTTCTCATCTCCTTTTTGTGTTTCTTTTTTTATGTTTATTGTTATCTTCATAATACGGGTCTCGAGTCGGGTTATGTATGCTCTTGGTACTCACAAATGATTGGTTCTTTACAGAACGTCCTCTCCTTTGATCTCATTCTTTCTTTTATCTTGTCCGTTCAAAATACGGCCTTGTGCAATGTACGCTAGTGTACGTATACGTACGGATATATATACATACAAGCGTTCCTTACACCTTCGGACGTTTTCCATCGTCAATCACAATAAGAGATGTCTGTATACAACGTTTACGAATCTGTGCGCAAGTCAAGCACAGCTTTCTCTAGCATCAGCCCTTGACATCCGTTGAATGTCGTCGCATAAGCAGGTCGCAGAGGAAACTGTTTGCGAATTACAATCCAGCTTGAACGTGCTGGATTGAAGGTGAACGTGATCCGAGGCAAGCAATGTATCTCTCCGACATCGCACTCTCGATAGTGCTGTGTACAGTTATCAATCGGTACTTGAGACACGAAATTGAAAATTTATGTACCACACCTATACAACACATAATTACAACTCTGTCATGTTTTTCCTGACAAGTAGTCTACCTCAATACTCCAGATCTGAATTTTTAGAGAAAAATATCCAACCACTCGAGCACAACGTCCAAAATAGTGAGGGGACCTCTTTTTTGCCCATTATCGTTCCTTGAGACACGTGACTTCTTAGCTAATCTTAGCTTATCCAACTATAGCAAAATGGTTCGCACTCGTGACACTAGCCGACACTGTTTTCTACACCACACATGTAGTTCATGATGTTTTCCGGCTATTATACATGTTCTTGAGAGCTTAGATACTTGTTAATACACTTTTGATTATTTGATGCATGATAAAGTAGTTTAATGTTTAATGTTGAATAATGTTGAATAAGATAGATTATAAATTTCAGAATAAGGCTTCGGGGTGTGAAAACACACATCTCAAAAGCAACTTCACTGACTAAGTTCATAAAATTTTTGATACCATGTGAGAGGCAAGGTCAATTATCCTTGTGGAAGTATTTTTGAGGCTATGAAGTGTGTTGTGAATGCGGGAGATGTGTTTGTATCAAGGAGTGATGGTGTCTCAAGGACTGATAGATAACTGTATAGCTGTCCATGTGCGAACGAATCTGTGCGCAAGTCAAGCACGGCTTTCTCTAGCGTCAGCCCTTGACATCTGTTGAATGTTGTCGCATAGGCAGGTTGCAGAGGAAACTGTTTGCGAATTACAGTCTAGCTTGAACGTGCTGGTCCGATTGAAGTGTCCCAGGTAAACTTCAGTCTCACTGTTTGTGTCTTGCTGTTGACTCTTGCCCTTCCCAAAAAATTCTCCTGTGTCCTATTTTCTGCTTTCCTATCTCCTGTCTCCCATTCTCCCGTTCTCCCATTCTCCCATTCTCCTGTTCTCCCATTCTCCCATTCTCCCATCCTCCTCCTCCCATCTCCTCATTCACCCCATTTCTCCATTCCCATGTTTACCCATTGCCCATTTTTCCTATCTTTATATTTTGGCATTTTTGCATTTTCACACTTTCACATTTTCGCATTTTTCACATTTTCATGTATACACAATTACAGTACATATACATCATTGTTGTTTTCACATTTTTCTATTTCCTTGGTGTTCTTTTTCTATATATTGTGGCTGAATCCCTTGTGGCTCAATTTTGGATTGGACAGTATAGTAAGGGACAACAGTTTTTGGAAATTGAAACTCCGATTGACAGAACCACGCAAAATTTCTAAATTGAGGTTTAAGTGAGCTAAGTGTTCCCATGTGGCCTTTAGCGAGCTACGCGTCTCCCACACACAGCCACAAAACCAGTCCCCATAAATTCTTAGATTAGATATATAAAATTCACATCAATGTTACTTAGTTTGAAAAGTTTACCTCTTGGCACACCATATATGGTAATGCACAGTCACGTGATCCTGCCTTCCCCCGCCATTCGTTTTCTCTGCTGGGGGGAAACAAAGCCGAGGGACGAGCTGGCGGCTGCAAATGCTGGCGGAGGAAAGAGAGAGCAGTCTGGGACAATGGGATGTGTGTCCTTGTCCTGAATGAAAGGCTTGAACATTAGACACACGGAAATTAGAGGTAGCTAGTAGTAGTGGATGTACAGTATGGACCAGTTCACGAAACTTGTGAGATATTGGGAATGATGGGACCTATGAGACTCAGCTTGAAGAACTTGAAAATGAAAAAGGGAACACGACTTTGAATGCGAGCCATCTGTCCTGCTTCTGCATGCAATTGTGAGGTCATGGCATCGAAAAAAGAAGCCAAAGTGTTTGGAGAGCTTCCTCGATGTTGAGAAAAAGGTCTTTAAAGATCATTGGCATGGTCACTGGCAGCATGTGAGAGACGCGACTCACCACTTGCGAGGGATGATATCCCCGCGCTCCCTCTTCACACAGTTGATTGTGCAGAGCAAGGCTGTGTGGCCCTCAGTGGCCTCTGGATATGTGGCAAGAAATGCAGGCTCATGCCCGTCAAACCTATGTGCGTGGAATGGTGATGGTGTGGGTGAGAGTTCATGTGCCTGTGCAGTTGGTGAAAATACTTACCGGTTGAGAAACTCCAGTGCGATCACCGAGCACTGGTGGTACTTCATTGCGAAAAAATTCTTGTTCTTCCCATGGATCCACTCAGGCAGCCAATCTTGAAGTGGAATGAGCAAGCCATGCTCAGGGTCGCCATCTGCCCAGTGTTTCACGATCTGTCTCCAAGAGGCAGCTCTGGGTGTGTGACTCCCATCAGAGCATCATGTTGGGACATCAGGGATGATGAGTCCCTTCTCGGGTAGCAGGCGTGAACCAGTGGTCAGGCTGTTTGCCATTCGAGTGAGTGTGGAGGGCTGTGGGAGAATGGAGGAGGGAACAGCAGGGCATGGCAGGGCCAAGAACAGTTCCTTGGGGGGACTGAGGCGTGGATATGTGGTGCAGGAGTTGCCTGGGTGTGATGGCAGAGTTGGCGAGTACAGAGTGTCCAAGTCGCACATATTTGTGTGGCTGGGCGACTCAGGTGCATGAGTCAGCTGTCCCTTGCAGAGTGTGGCTGCAAGGGTGCATAGGTCACTCCACAAACCTGCCACATCAGCTGAGATGCATTCCTGCATTGACTGCAGGTCTTGGATGCACACAGGCTTGACGAGCAAGTGCTCTCCAAGCAGAGATGCATCAGCCTCACGTTGCGTTGGACAGAGGGTGTCACTGTGGTCATTTTCGTATGTGGAGAGCTCATTGAGGAGGTACCGGATCAGTGTGTCATGCTAATTCATTTTCAGGAGCAGAAATGAGTCACATCAGCAAACTACCAACTTCGTCTACAGAAGACTTAAATTCTCACCCTAGCTACAGCCAACCACAAAATGTCACAGTTCACACAAAGCTCACAGCATACAGTAGCTACAGCACCACTTACCTCCAGTCACTCACAGAGTCACGGTTTCTTCCAGACTTCAACTACTACAGTAGCACAGGCTTCAAATGTAGCTACAGAACCACTTACTTCCAGCCACTCACAGAGTCACGGCTTTGCACAGCTTCGAGTTGCAAGTGTCATGATCAAAGTAGTAAACACTGTGCTTAGTATATTTCAGAGTCATTTACATCACTCGTAGTACTAGTAGCACACTGAAATTTACGAACCAATGCAAACATATATTTTGGACATATAAACAATATCGCAAGAATTTACATGGTACATATGTTGAACATAAAAGAAAAATGCGGAATGTGCCAACAAACAGAATTAATCAAGCCGAATGGTGACATGCAGTGCATTTTCTAAGTTGTCTGTGATGTGTTCAGACATCAGTTCATCCTGTGATACCAGAATATCAAGCTTACCGGCATGCAGACATCCCTGTCCGGATAGAAGGGCCTGAGGGTGATGAGTCCAACCATGCTTCTTGAAGACAACTCGCATATATCCTAGTCCAAGGTCCACATCATCCAACCTCTTCCCTGCAGTTTCAGCTTGGAATCTCAACAAGCTTGACAAAACCTCGTGTTCTTGTAGTATTGAATCTGTGAGGGCCTTCTGAGCTTGAAAAATGTCGTGCTTCGCTCTTACGAGGTCCATCATCAGGTTTGCTTCACCATCAGATGGATCTTTGACGGACTGTTGAAATGCTGATCCTTTTGAGACTTTACAAAAATGTTGAAAGACTGACTCACCATAGCATTGAAATTGTCAACAACTTCCAATATATCGGACATACCACTAGTATGATAACTGGTGTGCAGATTCGGACGACATGGCTCACGAGAGTCCCCATCACTGTTGTGGTAGGCTTGGAGAGAATTTTGCAAGTATAAACCAGAAGTGCTGACTGATAAGGATTGTATAGTAGAAATGGTCATCATATGTGAAGAAGGATTATCGGAAAGTGCTGGGCCTGTGATCATTGTAGAAGAATTATCAGAAAATGCTGGGCCTGGACTTCGTATGTTGACAACTTCAGCATGCCTGAAGCTTCAAGTTATTGTCCTTCGTGTGGCAAGAAATTCAAAGATCACTCATCTGTTGCTCGCCATATGAGTCAGCCCTTATCCGGGTGTAATACCTGGCTTGATGATCTGATACAACTCGAGCAATCCAGCTGCTCCTGCTGGAAGATCATCCCATGGATGTGGACGATTCAGACATCAAACCTTACATATCTGAGTCCTATGAACCAGTGGATTCAGGTGACTTTTTTAGTGAAGGAGAGAGTATGGGGGGAACACCTCAGGACAAGACACAGGATGAGAGTAGTGAATTTACAGACCATTTTCCCAATCCCCCGCTTGCCTTCAAGGAAGGATACATGTTTCTGAGCCTCGTTGACTCCAATGAGAACAGTATACATTGCAAGACCAACCTCTATTATCCGTTCAGCTGTCGGAAAGAATGGCAAGTTTCATCATGGCTTCTGCACTCGGGATTAAGCATGGGGAAGATAGATTCATTTCTAGCCCTCGAAATGGTGAGTGCCTCCCAACTTCAAGGTCATCGCTACGGCTTACATTTAAGAGTATCTAGATCAAGGACTTATCTTTATCATTCTGCTCAGCAAGAGAGTTACGGGGCCGGGCTGAAATGTTGCCAAGTGGTCTGTGTTGGAAGTCGCAAGTGATCACTACAATGCATCCTACGAAGTCACCTGTTGTTCTGTACTGGCATGATCCTCTCGAGTGCATCTTGAACATCTTCAACCATCCACTGTTTCATGATTGTATGGACTACAGCGCTTGGAGAGTATATACTTGTGCGCAGAAAGCCTGCCATGTATATACCGAATGGATGACAGGAGATCATGCTTGGGAAATGCAGGTGCGTAACGTATCCGATGGCGGGATCAATCGCTGATGTCTCCTTGAAGTCTGCTTTACCTGCGGGTGCAACCCTCCTTGGCATGATTTTATCCTCAGACAAGACTACCATTACATCATTGACAGGCAATTGCATCGCTCATCCACTCCTCATCAGCCTTGCCAATCTCCACATGAACATGCGCTCAAAATTGTTGACCAACTCTTTTGTCCTCACTGTGCTTCTACCTGTCCTGAAGTTTGTCCAGAAGAAAAAATGCATGAAGGGTGTGTTGCAGGACTGTCTTATCCACCAATTCCTCGACCTCATTTTACGTCTGCTGAAACAGGCTGCCAAACATGGTATCATGCTGTCTGACCCCATCGGGCGCAGCCGTTATTGCTTTACTACCCTTGCAAGTTATATTGTCGATATGCCTGAAGCAATGATGCTGTTGACTGTTGGGGGGAAAACATCTCCTGTGACGATGGTGATGTATATGCAGTTTGGAGATAGCTTCTGGCATGAACCTCGGACAAGATCAACAACTCTTGCCCAGCTCGCTGTTGTATGCTCACGCGCTGATCCAAATGATCTCGAGGCACATTTCTGTGAAGCCCAAAAATTTCACCTGAACGGTGTTGACAAGCCATTCTGGAGTGACTGGATATTCGCAGATCCTTCCTATTTCCTTACCCCCGAAACACTCCACCACATTCATAAAGAGTTCTACAACCATGATGCCCAATGGCTCATTGTATCTGTTGGAGAATCTGAAATCAATTTTCACTTCTCTGTTCTACAGCCCATCACCAGTTTTCAGCACTTTCATGAAGGGATCTTGAAGTTGAAACAAGTCACTGGTCGTTGTCACCATGACATACAGTGATCTATTATTGCAGTTAGTGTGGATGCAGTGCCCCCCAGTGTCCTTGCTGCAGTATGCGTGCTCATGCAATTCCGTTACCTTGTGCAGTTGCCGCGCATTGACGAGAACAATCTCAAGCTTATCTCTGGTGCACTGGATGAATTCCATGTGAAGAAGGACATGATTATCACTGCTGGAGCTCGTTGTGGGCAACACAACAATGTCATTAATACATTGGCATATACCCAAGCTTGAATTGATGCAGAGTATTGTCCCCAGCATTCACAACAGTGGCGTCACGAGCCAATGGACTGCCGACATCACCGAACATATCACGGAGATTAAAGACCCTGCAAGATCTAGCAACAACATCAACTATGATCCGCAGATCTGTCGACATCTCAACCGAGCCGACAAGTGTCGTCGATTTGAGCTCGCCATCAACCTTTTAGATTGTGATCAAAGTCTGCAAGATGTTGACATAGACCCCAAAGACAATGTTGACACCTGATGCTGATGAAACTGCTATCAAGTGTCCATCTACGGTCCATTCATCTGGACACTCATGTCCCATCACTGACTATTTTGCTATCACTAAGGTACTCCAGCATAGAGATTCAGTACCTTTACCTCTGCACTCATTCGTTGTTCAATGCACTGCCTTCCATCTTTCCTATGATCCCACCATTAGGAATGTCACTGTTGATGAAATTGCCGACAGGTTCGGCCTTCCTGATCTGTGATCAGCTATCGCTGATTATCTTCAATGTGAGGCCACCTTTGGACACAATCACATTCATCCGATAGGCGGTCCTAGAAGAGCTGGACCTTCCGCCATACTTCCTTTCAATAAACTTCAAGTTTGGATCAAAATCCGTCTTCAAGACACAGAATTTCATGATCCTTGTTGTATTCAACCTGCTCAGACACTGAACTGCGCACCACCTGGTGGCCCCTGGATTTTGGGTCATTACGACACGGTCATTGTCCAAACTGAAGCAGGGTGCTCTTGGCCGACTAGTGGTCTTTCAGGTAAGCTTCTATCTGTATTGTCTCATGCTGCAATGTCAATATCATTTTAATTTAATTTATCCCCCATCTCCTCAGGTCATGCTGTGGCGCAGCTTCGACTTATCATGCGTCCCATGGCTAGACGTGGCACCCCTTTGACATGGAAAGATCAGTTTTTGATCTATGTCCAACACTTTAATATCTCTGGTGATCGCGACCCGACCACACAGCTGCATTCGCTCAAGAGAGCAAAGTGCTCTAATGGGACTCGTATAGGGGATGTTATACCCATCTCTCAATTGAGGGCACCTGTCAATCTTGTTCCGCACTTTGGCGCTATTGCAGACATGCATCTCACTGCATATAATAGTTTGGACCACACATCAGAGTTCTGGTTAAATCAGTTTTGGGATAAAAATACCTTTTTCCCTTTATTGCTGTAGTAATGCGTAGAATCCATAGATGATCTATCCTCAATAAGACAATTCTTGTGATGTTTATTGATGGTGAGAAGTGTGTTCCTGCTGGCATGTCATTAACATTGTTCACTATCAACAACCATGCCACACGCATACATCCAACCTCAGTCTGTAGACTATGGGATGAAGCTATCATCTCTGATGTCTGCACCCAAGATTAATGATGTTCCTACCATGGATGTACTCACTGAAAGGGAACTCAATGGTTTGATTCTACAGGAACCTGATGATGGGCACCTCAGCCATGTACTTTCCTTGATATTCAAAACCTTTGGCACTACAATTCCTCTTGCAAACTCACTTACTGTTTCTTTAAATACCAAAACACCCCTCTACCTTCGTAATTTTAGGATTAATCAAAATTCCACCAACAAGGGCGAAACCGAGTCAGTGTCACTGTACAATAATGTGAATCACTGTTGGAATTGGGTGTTTCCCACACACGAGTGGCATGCTAGCAAGTTACCTGACAAAAGTGGGCAGGATCTCAGAGAGGATGATGAAGAGGACGAAGAACAGGACTCAGAAGAAGAAGACCAAGGGAATGACGGCAAGGATGTAGCAGTTGATGTGGACGACTCACTGGCAGACCTCGGCAAGCACTTGCCTGATGTTGGCACAGCACCGGCGGGACCAATGCCACCATCAACCAATGATGAGACGAACTTTGCAGGGTTCTTCAATACTGTCGCTGTTGCCCTCACTGCAGCAAATGATAAGCTCACCAAGTTCAATCCCAGTGGAGTGATATGGACATGGAGCGGTGCGAACTCCACGCGCCCAGTCAAGGACGAGGAAATCAAGTGCAAACCTGACCTAGCCTTACTGGATGACATGGAGGCTAGGTGGGATACAATCAAGGCGGTATGCAAGTTGACATCCCAAAAGTATGTTGATCATTCATCTACCTGTGCAAAAACTGTGAGCTGATGGTTCCTAAGGTACCATCCTACCTCTACTATTGCTAAGACTATTGATAGGAAGGCATACCTTCTTTTAAGGCGCCAGCCCTGGAGACACTTCATTCAGTTTGCAATGGATATCGAGATCTTCGGGTGCACTTGTATGACCACTCAGGTGGTATTGTAACCCCTTGCATCAATATGGACCGGGATCTGGACAGATTCTTACATACCTTCTCATGCATCGTTTTTGGTGGCCTCGAGTGCATTGGGTATGATCCTACTATCAGTATCTTCACTAAGACACTTCAGCCCTGCCAACTCCAACAATCCTCCACCTTCACTCTTCCTACTACCGCTGGAGCTACTGATAACGCCACCAAATACGCTCATAGACAACAGAATGAGAGTGCACCTGTCATCCTTGAGAGTGTGCCAATGGAAGGCACAGATGATCCCATATCCGAGTCAGAAGGTCCTGAGCCATCCAGGGTCGGTTCTGTCTGAACATACCCTGCCTGAAGATCTTGAAGATCCTGAAGACCCTCTCCCAAAAGAACTCCTCCTCCCTGAAGACCTTCCTCCTCCATGAAGGTCTCCCTATGCCCCTTCCTGCAGATCCCCTCCTTGCACCTCTTCCAGAGCTGATCGGAAAAATCTGAGTCAATCATAACTACTATGATATCCTGGAAGTCATCTTCTCTAGCCAAGGCCTTGTCGGTCGTGGTACTGTGTGCTACTTGACGAGGAGGGGTGAGAATGAATATATTATTAAAGATCATTGGGTTCTAGGGAGTAAGGAGGACGTGTTGAACGAGGTCATCATGTTGAATAATATGAAGGGGTCCATGGTGTACCTGAACTTATAGAACACTGGCTCGTCAAGATTGCACCTGAGGAGGTCGACTAAACAGAGAAGTATCACTATACAACAATGGAGAGTATAAAAGGTACCTTCCACACTCATATCCGGCTAGTTTTGAAGCCCCATGCGCAACCATTGCATATGTTCCACACAAAGGCAGAGTTAGTGAGTGTGATCCAGGATATTGTTGCCAGTAAGTACACGCTTGTGCGATGATATCTAAATTTTTGACTTACCTTTTTCCAGTTCAGAAGATAGTGGTTGAAGAGCAAGGTATTCTGCATTGAGATCGCAGCCTTAACAACGCTATGATCAAGGACGACAGCAATGGCTCCCATGGCACATTGATAGACTGGGAATTTGCTGTGTGTATTCTTCAGGGTAATCAGCTACCATATTGGTGGTACAGGTCAGTGTTTAACTTCCTGACTCTGTTTTTGATGGACACCTGCTCACAAAATGACCAGGGTACAGTACTGTTCATGTCGTGGAAGCTTCTTCACCAGCTCTCGGATATCATTCCTGTGGTGTCTGCACAGAAGAAAACTCGAAAGAAAGCTTCACATTCAAGACTGCAACAGACTACATTTATCAGACACACCTTTTCTGACAATCTTGAATCCCTCTTTTATGTCTTCGCCTGGATCTGCATCAAATTCAGAGGTCCCCTGGGGATGAAACGGGCTCTCAAGTCTAGGGGCCATGGATCTGAATGGCTACCCCACGCATGGTCCGCTAACTCTTACGCGGAGTGTGACCAAGCCAAGATGGGGTTCTTTTACCACTTGGAGGATATGCAGAAGCTTGAAATGCAGATTCATCCCTACTTCAAGAATCTCATTCCACTTGCAAAGTAATGGTACAGGGCTGATGAGGAACAATGACAACCCAGATTCGGTACCCTTTGATGCTGTGCTCAAGATGTCAGATAGACATCATGCAGAGCTTCCAAAGGACGAACCATCCCCTGAGCTATTATTTGCCAGAACAATCCTCAAGCAAAAACGGTCAACCGGAGATGCTCCTGATTCCGCAGGTGCAGTAGATCTGGGAGTCACTGATTTACCTAATGACATGACTGGACACATGAGGCCAGCTGGAGGCAACATGACTGATGGAAGCTGCAGTGCCCATTAGGCCTGTCAAAGTGGAACAAGACCCGATCTTCATGACATTAATACAACTGTACTTAGATTTTCTGTTCCAAAACGCTTCATACCTAAATAGTTACTTGGTAGTCATGATGTATGTCTCCATATGTTAGAATCATCCACACCGAGTCAGAGGGCATCAGGGTCTACTATGTCAATCTGTGTGAGATTCCTGCAGTTCTCGGCGTCACTTAAGTTTTGAACTTTAATCTACTGAACTTACACATCAGCATGTTGCGACTTGCAAGCAACTTGACTCATATGTCCAAAAATTGCCTGTGATGACCACCGGACTACAACATGAAGCCCAAGGATAAAAGTGAGTATTTGTGAATATTGCTCAGAGGCTCCCTACTCTTCTTATATTCCCAGCTCTACTACAAGTAGTTCTACTATGCCTGCGCAATGTGCTGGTAGTCCCAAGAAACACAAGACAAAGCATAAAGCTGCGGATTCTGATCTCGGGAAGACACTCGTAGAAGCGATGGCAAAGCGATGGCAATCGCAGGCTGATGCGTCACCACCAGTACAGCCCCCACGGTCAATCCCTGACTTGGATGTGGCAGACAACTCGAACCTTCGACGTACTAATCGTGCAGGTGCTGGGAAGGGGGGTAGGAATAGTCAGCTTGAGAGAATTAGTGCCTTGTTGGATGCGCCTGGGTGGGCAACCAAACCCAAAGGCTCAACCACCCTTGATTCAAATGCTCCTGTGAACCCTCTCGCTCCAGTACCACCTAGCAAGGGTTGCGGGAGTCGCTCAAAGGTAACTTTTATTGTACTCATAAGCAATATTACTAACTAGTATGACACTATGTTGAAGGCTCCTCCACCATATAGTGCCTCACAGCCAGCAGTAGATTCCAGCGCTCCGCCTTCAAGAAAACAAGGCAAAAAAGCCAAGGTGAGCTTTGCTTTTGTAATTATGTAGACTAACTGTTTACTTTTAACTCTCCTATCAAGAACATTGCTGCCTTTGCCTCCAGCATCAAGGTGCCCAATCAACCAAATTTTGTACAGTGCGAAGATGGTGAACATTTTGGGTTCCATCCACCAATCGTCCCTTCTCGCATGGAGCAAGTTCTCAATACCTCCTCAATAACTGCCAAGAGCGCCAGTCAGAAGCCTGCCACTAGCACGAGCATTGACACTTTATCACAATCAGATTTTTCAAAGACGACCTCGGTTAACACGATGCCACATTCACAAGCTGACTTCTACTCAACTCTAGATCCTTCTCTCCAGCCAATCTGTCAGGAAGCACAAGGTGAAACTAATTATCGTGGCGCCCCCCTCCTGTCATTTTCCCAGGAAGCTCAAGCTGAAGTCTCAACATCTGGGGATGACAAATCCTCTACAGATGATGCTGACAAAAGCGACACTGATGAAGAAAGTGATAATGATGACGGCGAAATTGGTTGGGGAGGAGATCATGGGTGTCATAGTGTGCATCCCAGTATGCGATCATTTACTAATTGTATCTGTCACTAATGAGATCAGGCTTTTTGAAGGAAGGGATATCGGTGTCCCAACCTCAGGCTATCACTCTACCATCTGATTTTGAATTCCAGCATTCACGAGATGAAGACGAGAATGTTGCACTTGGATTGTTAGCAGTCGATAAGACCTCCAATAGCAATGATGTTATGGATGGGGTACGTCCTTTATGATTTCACAGAGTTCAATAATCATTCCCTTGAAGCCTACCAAGCCGGAGGATGTCTTACAGGGTCACCACAAGAAAAATGGATGTCCATGCCTCCCTGACCCCACAATGCTCGATCTCATCTGGCACCAAGAAACTCAAGCCACAAATGCAAAGTCACATGACTCGGGCGTTAAGGCTAAGAAGGTCAAATCATCCAAGTCTAAGGAACCTACTGAAGGCCCTAAGCCGACCCAACTCAGCTGGTATCCTTCACAGTGGAAGACCTTTCTTGAGGAGGCAAAATCAGAGTGTCATGCCCAGTATGCAATTGAGAATGCATTCCCAGATGCCATCAAGGATTTGCCTCTTTCAGTCACTGAAGCACTCTCAATGTCACTCGTCAAATGGCTTGAAGCAGGTAATGAGGTAGAAGCGGGTATGTATTTGTTTTCCCCAAGATATCTCACTCATGAGGCCGACTAGGTATATGGCCCGACCACAAGGCTGATATGGCCAAGCTGGTAAGTATGTCCATTGTCACTGGCTCAATTCCTCACACACTATTATCTAGCTATATGAAGACTTATCAACCTGGTGCTCCGACCTCAAGAAGATAGCTATCAGCACCAGTGCCCTCCATGTATAACCTCATCCTCTCAGCTGACGTACTTCCTCAAGCTCACACTACCTGGGTTGTGAACGCTGCTACAGAACTGTTGGATGACTGTGTTTCTTCGCAACAGTGTGGATGAACTTGGGAAAACCAACAATGCTGCTCACCCTGCACTCAAGGCAGCTGCCATCGCCTTCTTCTACACTGGTTCCTATTGTATTGCTCACAGGAGACCCAATATCTTCAAAGAGGAGTTACCTTTGGAGTCTTTGGCTTTTGTTTGTGCTGCAGTACTTATATATATATTTATTTCATACTAATGATGCGCTATAGGGAGTATCCCTACACTAGGCTCGTATCCACCACTTTTCCGATGCATCAGGCGTCCATCCAACGTCCATCCGACACTTATCCATTCCATCCAATACACATCCGCTTTTGGATGACATGCGGATACCTTCGGATCTCCCCCTATAGCTTGCGCATCCGCCGCATCCGTTCTGTCCACATCCATTCTACCTCATTGGTACGTACTCACACGCATTTTCTTGTTACTGACTGAACACAGACATATCCTCTCACACTCCAGTATTTTTTGGATAGCTTATGGCACGGTCTAGACTCGCTACCTATATCTCTATGTTCCTTGAAAATACTGTACCCTATAAGCATGGAGGTTTTCGAAAAATACTTACTGCATGTAACTTCCTCCCACTTTTCCTGCACCTTACCAGAAGATCAGCTTTGACTTATACCCACTATCCATCCAACCTTTAATGAACTTCCTTCAACAGTTGATTCGCATCCTGTCCGATCCGCAAGTGCCATCCACTCCATCCGACGAATCTGTATGTTTCGCATCCTATCTGTTTCATCCGCTTTTGCAGATCTTTCATCCTATAGGGTCGCTTTAGACAGAGACTAGTATTCCCCAGTAGCAATCCCCTTAAGGGTCGAACACACTTGTTCCCAAGCGAGGCAGCAGGCAGCAAAGACCCAACTGTGTAGTAGATTGATTTCTTCGCTGCTGCACTTGTACCCACAGTGCTGATGCCAAATTTGTAGTACAACTGTGTCTTTGATGGGTTAGTCAAGAATGGCAGTGGCAAGTATTTTCCAAAGTTTACTACCAAAGACTACTCCTCTGTCTATCTCTCGATGGTTGCTGAACTCAAGAAGATCATGAAGCACGTGTATCACGGCCCTAAGTTGACACAACAGCTTTGCGAGTGGGCTGCAGAAGGATGGTAAGGAGCTTTTTTCAAAATAAGTCTTCACTAATTAAATCTACACAGGGCGCAGTCCTGCAAACTTGACTGGCAAGGACGCATCAAAGCATCGTCATTTGCGGGTCATGCTTGATTAGATTTGGACCGCTATTTCGTGACTAGTATCATCCATCATTATTAGTAGTGCTCGTGTATCTTACAACTACCAGTATCTGCATCCGTGTTTCTGCATTACTGTCTGTGATCTAATACACTCTTGTGATTGCGTACATCTTTTACATGTGTGGACAGAACTGGTACAACTTTACAGGTAAGTGTGCTACTGGACAGTAGCACATGATGTTTTTTTGTCACAGTATTGAAATATTGTACATAAAGCAATTCTCGGTGGGTGTCTGTGGCAGTCTGTACAAGTGAAGTGTACAGAAGGGACTAAGCTGTGTATCTTTCGTATTGTACAGCTCTGTACAGAACTGAAGTAGTTTGCTGATGCAGTGAAACTGGGACTCACATTCTCATTCTCTGCCCATGAACCCCACCACCTCACCCTGGTGAGAGTCCAGCATTGGCCAACAGGTGCAAACATCCAATGCCACTGTGCACCACCACATCGATAGGTGTGGGTTGTGAAGTTGTCACCTGCTCCTCATGGGATTCCAGCTTCCGTGGTTGCCTCATCAATCCACACTTGAATGGTGTCATGTGAGATAGGTTCGCCGCAGTGGACAATGCCATTCAGCACCCATCATGGGAAAGATATAGTCTTCAGGCTCAAGTTTTCGACCATAGTGGGCAACTTCAAGAAAGGTGAGCCAGAGTAAGAGCCAGAAGAAGCAGTCACAGCCTGGTATGTCTGGCTGTGGGTAGAGCTTGTACCAGTTGCCTAACAACGCGAAGGGCAGCAGGAGGTTAATTTTTGAACTGTGGTGAGTAATTTATTGTGGGGCCTTGGGGACGATCTAATGAACAAGTATAATCTCAGTCTCTTGAAAGAAGCTCGTGCAACAAGCTAAGTACCTAATGAACAAGTATACTATTGACTTGTTAGCTGGGTCCTAATCGATACATAGAAACTATTAACTCACATCTCAGTCTCTTGAAAGAAGCTGAGATGCACTCGTGCTACTGGTGGTGTTCTTATAGTAAGCTTCGTAGAAACGAAAAATATATCAAACAAATAAGTAACATATTGCTAGACATGAGCTGATGTCAATGCGTTGCTCATCAATGTCCGTTTTGGCTTGGGATCAGACCACCTGTCACTCTCCCTCCTCAACCATCTCGGATCGGTCAGTTTTCTTCATCTCTGATTGCTCAGATCATTCAGACTCCAACACTCCCCCTTGAGTGCAAGCCAGGGACATTTGCCCTCGTAGCTTTTGCAGGCTCAGCTGAGGTAGGGCCTTGGTGAATGCATCAGTGACGTTATGGTCAGTTGGGCAGTAGAACAGTTGGAAAGTCTCATTCTTAACGTGGGAACGGATGAAGTGATACCGTAAGTCGATGTGCTTGGTTTGGGATTGGAATTTTCCATCTGACACAAGCGCTATTGCTGCTTGGTTGTCGCAGAAGATGGGGGTAGGGAGTGGGGTTGATTCATAGAGCTCTCCAATGAGGAACTGAAGGTAAAGTACTTCTCTCGCAATGCTTGTCAGGGCGATGTACTCAGCCTCTGCAGTAGACAACGCGATCAGTGGCTGCTTTCACACAATCCAAGCAATGGGACTGCTGTTTAGCATGACGATATATCCAGACATCAAATGTCCGAGTCTGTGAGGTTGTGATGCCCAGTCAGCGTCGACAAATGCCTTGATACCTCCATCTGTGGATCCAAGGGTAAGTTTGTAATCCGCAGTACCTTTCAGGTAACGCAACACGTGCTTGGTGGCTTCCCAGTGTGTCCTACCAGGGTTGCACATAAACTGTGACAGGGTGGCAATGGCGAATGTGATGTCAGGTCGCATGCTGGTGGCTGCATACATGAGGGATCTGATTGCTCGTTGATATGGTACATTGCGCATCGCATCTAGCTGCGCTGCTGTGCTGGGAGACTGATCAATAGATAGGATCGCACCTGGCTCCATTGGTGTTGACACGTTCTTCACATTCCCTAGGTAAAACCAGTCGACTATGGTGTCCATGTAGGCCTTTTGAGATAGAGTCAAGGTACACGCTTCACAGTCTCTCGTCACCTTGAGTCCTAACAACCAGTTAAGCTCCCCTAGATCCAATATCTCAAAGAATTCCAGCATGTCATATACCGGATACGAGCACCTCCAATACCACCCATGAACATCCCCACCCCTGGTCCGACCCCCTGTTTCCCTGTCTGCTTCATTCCTCCTTCCCTGACAATGCACAAAGTGCATCTCAGCAGGATTAGCCCTGCTACCTCTGCCCGACTCTGTTCTGCTTTTCCAACATTACCCCTATGTCCTCCGACCCCATACCCCTTCCATCCGACCCTATCTGGGGTTCCGCTCCTCCGCCCTATCGGTCCGCCTGACCCTACTCCTACTCCCTCCACTTTTCCAACCCGTTCAGTTCCTTTGGTTCCGCTTGTGTTGTCCCACCCGAACTATTAATCTGTCTGACCGCCTCACCGGTCCACCCCTAGACTAGGAACCACTCAACTGGTCCTATCCCCAGTTTAGTATCATAGTTCCGCTTTTTGGGTACCCAGTAATCCCTATACCCTAGCGATTATTGATCCATCGCGTACATACTTTTCTCTGAGCCTTATTCTCGTATGTCTCAGTCATCTTCTTATCCTGTACACTCAGCACATAGCCTCCTGCTGTGCTATGCTAATTACTTAGAGTATATAAACATATGTACATCTGTCTGTAGATACTCAGTCTGAATATTACCTTTTCTAAGCCCTGCTCTTCTGTTCTCTGACTTGGGCCTGGTCCTAGTCAACTCCTGTTAAAGCCGGCCTAGGGGATTGACTCCCTAGGTCAGGCCATCCTCCGATCCTCTGTTCCTCTGATCCTCCATTCCTCTGTTCCCCCGTTCCTCCATCCCTCTGCTCCTCCGACTCCCCATGCGTCGGAACTAGACCCCGCACTCTCGCATCTGTCCCCTCCATTCTGCTCTGCTTCTACTGTTGGTTCTGACTGCAGTAGTTTCCCGCTTCCTTCCTGTCAGGTGGAACAACCCCCGCCCGACTTTCCTGTGCTCACCTAGTAGTCCGTTGGTCCTCCTTTGGAGGGCCCCCATTCCGACATCCTGTCAGAACCCATAGAATTCGTGTCGGACTACATTCCAAAATTAGGGGCACGTACTCGGGTAAGGGGCGCAGCATATGAGCTGAAGCCAAGCCCCTCAGACTCCACTTTACCCCTGAGCACGGTCTTAACACAGCAGCTGTGCCTTAAAGTGCTTGATGTGGGAGATATGGTTGGTGGTGACAGCCATATCATCAACTGATACGGTGATGACGATATGTTCCTTCTTGCCACGTTTGAAGTAGACTGCCTGGTCAACCTTCAATCGCATGAAGCCCAGCTTCGTGAAAACGCCTGCTAACTCTTCTGCCCACTCAAAGCCTGCTTGCTTCAGCCCAGGTAAGCTTCTCAGCAACCTTAACACCTTTCCTTGCTGCCCATCCTTCAGATAGCCAGGTGGTGCCCTCATATATATCTCCTCCTGGATGCTCACATAGAGGTACGCGCTTTTGATATCAACTTGGTGTATCTCCCAGTCTCTCTGCACGGCCATCATCAGAACCGTGTGAATGGTGCTCATGTTGGCGGTTGGTGCAAACATGTCGAAATAGTCAACACCATACTGCTGTCTCTGACTGTTAGCAACTAGACGAGCCCGGAGTTTGAGTTTCTCCCTGTCAGGGACCGCGCTTGGTAGCTAAAACGAAATGGCATGGGATTAGATTGGCGCCACAAGGTGTGTCTACTATCTCCCATATCCAAAGCTTCTCAAGCTGACTGATTTCGTAATCTAGGGCTTCCTGCCACTCAACTCCGTCTGGGCTGTTCAAGGCTTGTTGCAAGGTTGGTTCTGGCTCTGTGGCTGCCAAAGCAAGGTGGATATGGGAGTCCTCATCCAGTAAGTCTAACTCTGATGCTTCTAGCAAGGATTCGATCACGACTGATGTTGTCTCTCCTTCCTGCAGTCTTGCATAGTACCCAGGAAGAGGTCTGTTTTGCGTGACGTGTGGCACTGGTGGCGGGGTGATTGGTTGCTTGGTGGTTGGCCTGGGTGATGTAGAGGGTGCTTGAGGGATGGTCTGGACACTTTCCACATTGCCGGGGTTGTTGGGTACATCGCTCAGTGGCGGCGGAACCACTTGGCTCCCCCTTGTCCATGACATCCTCTGGTACCATGACTTCTGTGGGTGTGAAAGTGATGCTGCACTCCATGGAAATGCGATGTTTCATTGGCCAGTAGACCCTATACCCCTTGCTCTCGACATCCACTCCGACAAAGATAGCTTCTTCTGCCCTTGCCTCCAACTTACCCATCTCCAGGAGATGGACATAGACTCTTGTCCCAAATTCATGTGCTTGGGCCAGGCTTGGCTTCGCATGCCGAACAAGTTCGTAGGGTGTAGTGGTGGGGGTCACACAGGAGGGAAGTCTGTTCTTCAACCAGATCGCAGTAACTCACTGCTTCGGCCCACAGGTACTTTGGTAAGTCCTTCATGATAAGCATTTCATGCACGTGCTCTACTAACGTTCAATTAAGCTGTTCTGCCACGCCATTCTGCTGGGGTGAGTTGTGTACCATCAGTTGACACTCGACACCTTGCTGATGCAAGTAGTCAGTTGAAATCAACTGCTCAGGCATTCTCCCCCTCAGTCCAAATGGACTTTAGCAAGGCAAACGCCCTGGTGATTGACGGGCTAACCACGCTTCATATGCCTTGAATGCAGTGAGTGCCTTGCTTTTCAACTTCAAAAACTGAAGTTTTGTCTGACGACTATAGTCGTCAGTAAAGCTGATATAGTATAGGCACCCCCCTAAACTCGTGGTTTGCACTGGCCCCCAGAGATCCATATGGACCAACTCTCTGTATCTGAGTGCGTGTCTCATACTTTCGTCCGGGAAGGGCTTTCTGGCTGACTTCGCTTTGACGCATATATCACAGAATTCTGGCTTCAAGTTAGGGTCTATTTCAATGCCCGTGATGAGGCCCTTCTTCACCACGTCTACGATGGTGGTTTGAGAGACATGTCTGAGGATTCGGTGCGCTTCGTTAATGGTGAGCTTTGTGGTTGCAACATTAGTGTGATGTTTCTGACAACTTGCTACCACACTATATAGACCCTCGACTTGAAGAATCTCTGCTATGATGCAGTGTGGGGGTCCTTTTGACAGTATCTTGCACATTCTGCCTTCAAACAGGACAGCTAGACCTCCTGCCGTGATGTGATTGGTGGAGATGAGGGTGAAAGCCATAGTAGGTGCGTATAGTGCATTCTTCAGCGTTACTGTCGTGCATTTCTCACCGAGGGGTAGGTCAATCTGCACATCTCCTTGTCCAATCGTGCTGAGGGTTGAACCATCCGTAGTATGGACATCTTGGGGAGGAATGGTAACGAAGTTGGTGAACTTTGAGTGATCGGGGCAGAAATGCAATGTTGCTCCTGAGTCCACGATTGCACCTCTCTTCTCAATGGGTAA